ATAAAATTTGATCCTAAATGGGCAAAAATGTTGTCTCAGATCCTCTTTGTGTGAGTGTGTGTGTGTGTATATGTGTGTGTGTAAGTAAAAAGAAAAACAGAAAGCATGTGTTTTTATTATTTAAATAAAAGTTGTACTTTGAAAAGTTTCTTTTGAAACTTTTAAAAACAAAAAAATACCAAACCCAAAAGCCAGTTTAAAGATGTAAAGCCTGCAACAAAGAGCCATCCTGAAGACTTTGCAGAAAGATTAATGTCTCAAATAAAAATAAAAAATAAAACATAAGGAATACAGTATGGTGTCCAAAAAAACAACAAGCATTTTAGATTAGTTGAAATATAAAAATAAATAAAAACACAATATTCTGCATCCTTCAGATTACCCCAGGTGACAGATAATGTGTTCCTTTATACAACTAGTGTTTCTTAAATGTGTATCTGCTACTACACACATTGTGCCTCCAAATCTAGATATTGAGAAGAAGAAATCTCTGACAATTTTCCCTTTAGCTGAATTTTATGTAATCAATCACTGTGAGAAATTCCTTTAAAACCTTTAATCATTTCACTGATGACAAATTTTTAACCCCCTAACAGACCACACAAAAATCCAATGTACGTAGATCAATTTGGTCAAAAAAAATCAGACCGCTGCATTTTTTCCCCCAAAGCATGTTTGTAACGCCAAATATTCATCTCGTTTCTCCTCATTGATTGCTACCACTCTAATACATTTATATGATGTAATTATATTTTACTAAATTCAATAGTTAGTTTGAGCAGCGTGGTGGGTTTTTTAAAGAGATTAGTATGGATTATAAATACAAAAACAGCATTTTGAGTGTGTGTCTAGGGGTCTGTGCTTGAAGCCCATTCTTTTTAACACTTAGATGATCAGTACATCAAAAGTGATCAAACAGAAGCTTGAAAAAAAAAAAAGCACGGTCCTTTGCGTCCACATCAAATATAGGATCGCTGCTAGAGAGAGAGGTGAACACATGCAAATATAAAATCCTGCACATTTTAAGTCATTTTAAGTCAATGCACCTGACTTTGACTAAAGCAGCCTGTTAACCTTAATAGGTGTTTGGCCAGGGGGGCCCTCAGGCAAAGTAGGGGAGGGGGGAGAAGTGACAGTTGGCAAAACATGAATAAAAGTCTTATATAAGTGGAAAAAGGATAAACTCACCGTCTTTGAGTCTAATTCGTGGTGCTGTTGAGCTAAGACTTTATCTACACTGGCAGCATCTGTAAACGTAACAAACCCAAATCCTCTGCAAAACAGAAACAAACACAGTTTTAGAATTTAATTGAACAATAAACAAAAAAAAATGTATTTTCTTTCAAAAAGACACTAATGAGAATAGATTAAAAAAATAAAAGTTAGTAAAAGAAGAAAAAAACGTTAAATGAATGTGACCTTATCACTGCTCCAATATTTCTTAGTAAATAAACACATTGTAGCTGAGATTTCAAACAGGCGTGGGGTGAGGAGGGTGAGGAGAGTGGGTGAGGAGGGAGGGGGGACAGTGCTGAACATTATGTGGTATGTTACACAGTGAGACGACGCTCCACCAACATTGTGGTGCAGTCACAAAGTCAATGTCAAATTGCATTCGGCCGCAGCTTTACAGCAGCGCGCGTTTAAGCTTATCTGGGCTCGCGGTGAAACCACACGCAGGCGCGCGCGCGCAGACAGGGGACACACACATGCGCGCGCGCGCTCACACAAGCTGGATTAACACTAAACACGGTCAAAGTAAAGCGATATCGTCATGTGCAGTGGGAAGGAAAAGTAAGAGAGAGAGAGAGAGGAAGAAAAAAAAGCCCTGCATTTACCTTGAGCGTTTTGTCGTGGGGTCTCTCATCACCATACATTCTCTTATTTCTCCGAATTTACTAAAATAGTCTCTAAGGCTGTCTGTGAACAGAGAGAATATGTCGGGTTATTTGACAGAAAACATATGGGCACGCATTTAAAAAAAATAAAATGTAAAAAAAAATGGAAAGGAAGGAAGGGAGAAAAAAAAGAACACCCCGCGATGCGCATAGGGGTCGAATAGAGGACTTCAGATGGACGGAGATCAAAAATAACACACTACTGAGATATCCCATACAGAACAGCACTGCACAGGGACACATTCGCACAGACACCGCCAGCAGCTAACGAGCACTCAGTCTCAGCGACATTAAATAATAGAGAAAAACAAGAAGAAATACTGGACACGGCGTCAAAAGAGAATAACAGTCTCACCTGGTGAGGTTTGCCAGCTGAGGCCACCGATAAACATTTTACTGTAAGGGGAAAACACAACAGAAGTGAGTCCAGATGTCAGTTCGGCCATTTTGACGACTAACTACTTCTAAAAGCGACCTTAAAGGATAAAGGGAGACTATGAAAGCGCATTCGCGCTTAGTAATTACAATGTATCTTCATTAAATAAAGAAGGGGAGGCCACTCTCGCTACAAAAGCTGTGCTGTTTCAAACTGCGTCTGGGAACGGACCCGTGCACGGGTTTAAGTGCGCACTGCGCGAGGACGGATCCAGCACGGCGCTCCAAGTCCTCTCCAAGACGTTGAAACATGAAAATAAAATGAAAATAATAAAAGAAAAACGTAGGTTAAGGTTTCATTTTGCAGATTCTTACCCCGGGTCATGTTGTGAATCATTTAAGCTTCCGGACGTGGCTTGACTCCCGTCTCCTTCCATATCTATTCCAAACTATAGAGGCTGGGACTACAGTAACAGTGACAGACACACACAGATAGGGCAGGAGATATGCAAAGCCCCGCTATGAGAATATTACTGAGCCGGGAATGAAAGCGTCACACGTGGGATCCGCTCAGCCCCCTGCTCCCTCCTCCCTCTCTCAGCGTGCTCTACCTTAGCCCACAGGGGGCGGAGCCTGGCTCTGTCACCTAACCAATCCAATTGACGTCAATTCAGGCAATCTGCAAAGCAATCCTCCGATTTGTCGTTTAATTAAGCAATAAGGTGCAACTGGCTATTTGCTCTCCTAAATCAGTAAAAGTCTATTAAAAATATTTTAATTCAGTTTATTTATATAGTGCCAATTCACAACACATGATCATGTTCACCAGATTATACAGTCAAATTGATTCAAAGGCTAAGGGAAACCAGTTGATTGCATGGACTCACTGACTCGGATGCAATCCCTCACACTAAGCATGCTTGTAGCGACAGTGGAGAGGAAAAACTCCCTTTTAACTGGAGGACACCTCCAGCAGAACCAGGCTCAGTTTTAATAGATTATACAAGTTATAATCTATTAAAAACACTGCCAATGGAAAAAAGTATTTTCCATTATTTACACCGAGATCTTCAACATCAGCAAGAAAATAAAAATACATGACTTAATAGTTCATCCTGGTTGTGATGAGTGTGAAAATAATCAAAGATCTACCTGAAAGCTGTGCAATGTGAGAAGCTAAGTGTGCCGTGCTGCACCATAAGCTTCAGTCTTGTTTGAATTTTGATAGTAACAAAAAAAAAAGATGTTTATTTTCTACCTACTTTCTCAGAGGCAGCTACAGGGCATTGGGGAAGTTTTAAAGCACATCTGAACTGTGTCATAGTGTTTCACTTTTAAACCAAAATGTTTTTTGGTTGTATGTCTTTTAATAATAATAATAATTTAACTTTATTGACCTCACATTGGAGAAATTTATCTGTGCATTTAAACCATCCCCTTGGGGAGCAGTGGGCTGCCATCATGAGGCGCCCAGGGAGCAGTGGGGGGTTAAGGGTCTTTCTCAGAGACCCAGAGTGGCATTCTGTGGGAGTGGGGCTCAAATTCATATCCAGGATTCCAAGCTTTATGCCCTAACCACTTGCCCACCACTCCGCCATATATTTTAAATATATTTCTTAATGGTTACACACATTTAAAATTTTTAATCAACCATCCAGTTATTCATTAATAATAATCCCAATGAATCACATTTTAATCAAAAACCTTTTATTGACTAAATAAACCACCTTTTAAATTCAAGAAACATTTTATTCTCTTCAAGAAAGATCTAGATAATTATGTTAGCACAACAACAATATATTTATTGTTACTAATCCAACTATTTAGGCTATGCAACCATCATATTGGTTAAACATTAATATATTTTAGCTTTTTTTAGAACGTATTGATAATTTATGCAATTTCTGTATAAAACTACTTCCATAGAAGCGTGAACAGTATACTAACTTTAATTATAGCACAATTATTTGCAACAAATATAGTAAGAAATATATATAGCAACAAGACATGCAATGTTGCCTGTAAATAGTAGATAACGTTTAATTTCTACTTCTGACAGAATGCCAATGCAGCTCTGCATGAAGCATTACCCTTAGGAGGTTAACAAGTGCAATTAAATATGGAGCATTTAGAGCAATTTTCAAAATTACCTACGGAGACTACTTTTTCTCGTTAAGCCAGTTACTGACACAAATAATCCGTGTTCCTTGTCCTAGCTCCTTCCTAACTGCCAGCAGTATTCAGATGGCAGTATTCAGATGGCAACTGCAGAGGTACTTCGGTCAAAGTTTAAATTGAGGTGTTTGGATCCAGTCATGGTTTTCAATATTGAACACCTGTGATGCCGCTTGTGCATCAGATTTATGGGTTGACAAGAAACATAGAGTACAAAGGTTCCCACCTTTGCAGAAAATGCAATTAATTGTGTTAATTTTTTTTAAGTGTTAAAAGGTTTCTTATTTATTAATCAAAATTAACGTCTCGGCCCTAATATAATCTTATATGAACCATGCTCTTGCTGAACAAGTCAATGCCCACTGCATAATGGTGACAACACAATGTCTCATTGACTGTATGGGGCAGAGTTATTTAATGTGGTTCAAAAGTGGCTTTAAATGAAGGTCAGAAATTTCAACCAAACCGCTTTATACTGCATGGTTTTCCCTACATTGTGTTTATAGTCTTTGAAAAGGGCTTTTTTTAAATTAAGTTCTTTTCTTCTTCGCCTCTTTCTTGGTTTCTAAAGCACATAACTTATGATTGTTCTGTTGAACGATATCTATGCATAACCTCTGGATCTTTGCATTGTGTCCTGGGTCGTCCTCTAGCTATGACCATAAGGTGTGGGTAGGAACATAGAACGACCATTCCAAAAGGTGGCTTGATTCCTTCCGTCTGGACGAGAGGTTCCGCCTCAGGTGGAGGAGTTCAGGTATCCTGGGATCCTGTTCACAAGTGGGGGGAGAAAGGAGCTGCAGATGTTTGCAGCTCCTCTAGAGTAACCATTGGTTGCTGCACTGCTTTTTTTGACTGATCATTTTTTTCCCAGTCGGTTTAAAGGTTGGCGAATTGCAACAGTGCCATATTCCATTTTTTCAGCTAAAAATAAAACTCGACTGCACCCTGGTGTAGTTGTTCGTACTGTTGACTCGCTGCAAGAAAGTTTCAAGTTTCTATGTTTATTCTCCTCCTTACATGTGTTGATTTTCTACTAACACTCTGGCTTCCTGCCACTGACCAAAAATATGCATGTTGATAAATTGTTGCTTTAAATTGCCCTCAGGTGTGAGAGGGTGCACTCATACCTTTAATGAAATGGCATGCCAATCGGTCTTGCAAATTGACTGCTGGAGTTTGGTACCAACCACTTATAGAAGTTTTGTGAAGTAAAAAAAATGCTCCAAGATGGTTAAACTTTCAACATATTGCTTTATAGATGAACTTTGTTCTTAAAGTTCTTCACCACTTTATCTCCTACCTATTTAGTGTGTTCATTAATATTAATTATGCTTAAAATCAGTGAGTCCTTTACAGGACAGCTCTATGTATCCACATCACACACAGGTGGATTATATTTAATAATATAATAACTTCTAATTGCTAAAAACAATTGGTTCACTGGCATTTTTTAAGGGTATCAGAGTAAACTGAATAAAGATAGAATATCCAGCTTTTTAATAAAAAAAAAAGTGTAAAGAACTGCATCTTATTTAGCTTACACTTTCACATTTTGCACTACTTTGTGATGATCTGTTGCACAAAACACATCAAAGTCTGTGGTTGAAATGTGAGAAAGTGTTAAAAGACTAGAAATACTTTGAAAATCGTTGCGATGAACTAAGTGCAAGTTCACTATTTACTCCCTCTGTCTGCTTTTCGCAGCTACATCACATCTTTAAACATGATATAGCTACGCTATCAGAACTGAAGTTGTAACAATACACTCCGTTTGCTGAATTATTAAAGCATCTCCCACCAAAAGTGATGAAATGCAGCTAAGATTGAGCAGTGGTTTTAGGACAGATAAATTAAAGAAAGCTCTTGGAGGCACAAAATCAATGTTCAGCTCTGTTCACGTGTCCCTGAGCAAGATACTGAATCTCAGCCGGTGACCCAAAGGTCTCACCTTCAGCTGCCTTATTCATCACAATAGCCAACAAAAAGAAATTTCCCATGGGGATCAATAAAGTCTGCTATACGTACATACAGTAGTGTAATTATGGATCTTTTCATGTAGATGACCTATAATGAGCTGTCAGCCCTGCCCTCTGCACACGGTACATGGAGATAAGCTGGCTCTTCCTCCTAATAACCTTGAGGAAGTAAAAAGAATAAAAAGGTTAGTAAAATATTAAGACTGAATGGTATGTGGAGGGGAAGTAGTGTTAAGGATCTGAGTCAGTATTTTAAAACGAGTCAGGAGTCGAACAAAAATGTCATATAAATACAGTTCTCATTAATTCCAGCATGAGGAGACTCCCAGCTTTCCATGTGAAATGTGACTCGTGATCCTGGTTTATTATTCACAGTCAGAGACGTCTTTTGAATAGGCCTGTCTTCCCTGACTGTTGAGGGTTCCACCACAGGGAATTTCTTATCTGGCCATGCAGCATGTTTTTGAAACATTGCCGAAGATAAAACCAAAATAACAACACTTTTGTCAGTTTAGCAGCTAAAAGTCTGTCATTAGTTCTGGGACTTTCCACCCAGGAGTCGTCTGTAGCTCCTAAACAAAGGTGCAGAGCCAAATGGTAATTCCTCGCAGCACCGGAGTGTCATAGAAAATGGAAATATGACGCAGAACGTGAAAGACTATTACACCGTCTTTGCACTATGGTTCTGTCTCCTGATATTTTGGGATGCATTTATGATTACATTACTGTTGTCAAATGGGAGGAATGTTCTTTCTGTCCCCCTGCAAAAAAACATGCATGCTCTCCTTCAGCTGCACAGACGCAAACAAATAAGGAAGGTTGTAAATTCATGTTGAAAACAAGCTTTATGAAACAAAAAGCTCTAAAGCCCATCGTGAGGTGTAGGAAAATCACTGTGGATTCAACACACGAAGAGCGACCTCTGTTTTATGCTTAAAATAAAAACACTGGAGGATCTGATTTCACGGTGGGATTGTGAATTATTCTGTTTTCTTAACATAGTTATTACTGCCTTTCCATTCACTGTGCCATGACGGGAGCCAAGCTGAACATGCCTGAGAAGGTACAGTTAGTGTGACATTTTATCATAGTTTACAAAGGGGATGCACATTTCAACAAGACACCTTTGTGGCAAAGAAAATGTTCCCTACAGCGTTTTAAATCTAGCACCACCACCTCACGCAATCCCAACCACAGAGAGTCCCTGGAGAAAGTTTGCAAACCCTTTTTATATCTTGAATGCTCCTGCAAGAAAACCTAAAAAATATTTTCTTTTCAATTACATGACATGCAAAGTATAGCCGATTTTTTAAGATGTTTTTTCAACATATTTAAATCTGGTAAATTTGGAGGATGTTTATGTAACTCAGCTTCCAGCTTTACATAGTTGAGGCAATTTGAAGTTATCTTTAGCCTAAG